CCGATTGAGTGACGAATTGATGCAAAAAAGATCATCCGTAGCCAACAATCGACGCAAAGTTATTTTGTTGCATGATAACACTCGACCGCATGTCGCTAAAGCGTGAAGCAGGCATTTCTAGAGCTTGAATGGGAAGTTCTCCCACATCCAGCGTACTCTCCAGACTTGGCACCGTCGGATTACCATCTCTTCCGATTGATGCAACTCACACTTACGAACACACACTTCTCCAGTCACAACGAAGTCAAAAAATGGATGTATGAATGGATCACTTCGAAAGACACCGCGTTTTACCGTCGTGGGATTACCCTGTTGCCAGAGAGATGGAAAAAAGTAGTAGAAAATGGAAGAAATTACTTTGATTAAGATATTCATTCATCTTCCCTTCGAAACAAATCAATTTTGGAGACGAAAAAAACGGCAGGAATTAAGTTTAACACCTAATATATTTAGCATTAATTAATTACATAAGTTTTTTTACGATTTTCAATATTTTCTTCGCTTACTAGTTTATTTCCATCTTTCTCTGCATCTTTCTTTGCTTATTGTTTAATTCTTCCATATTTTCTTTTGTTTTACTTTTCGTCTTATTTCTTTGTATCTTTTACTTTATTATTATTTTCTTTGTGTTCTGATTTCTTTTTTCTTCTTTATCTTTACATTCTTTACCTTTTATTTTACCATACAGTTTTTTTTCGCTTCATTTCCCATAATTTTTTTTTCACAATACCCTTTTTCTTTTTATTATTTATGTCTTTATGTTTCAATAAGTTATTACTATTCTTTATATATTATTATTTCTTCTTTATTTTCTGTTTGTTTACTGTCTTTCTTTAAATCAATTTTTATTTTAGGTTTTTCTTATTATTTTTTGTTAGTTAAATTTCTATCTCTTTTTTAATACATTATTGTCTATTTTTTCAATACTTTACTTTTTCGCATTATTTTTCTTTATTTTGTGATTCTTCACCAATAACTTTTTTTATTATTAATTAATTCCTTAGAACGGTTTTCCTTCGTTCATGCTTCTTGCTATCTTATAAGATAACATTTTTTTTCTACACATGTGTTTGTGTTTGATGTTTCACACACACATTTAATTGCAGAATTTATAATATCTTTCCCATTTTGTTTTTTATCAAGTTTTCTCATATTTTGAAATTTCGATTTGTGTTTATCAGTTGCCTCATTATTTGGATTTTGGATTTGTGACTGCGTAATTTCTGGCGGTTTTATAGCTCGTACCGTTTCAACCTTTTTCGTTTGCAAAACATTTAAAATATTCATTTTATTGTACATCGACGCAATTGTTGCTGATTCATTTTTCTTACACGGAGAAAATTTTATATTTAAAATTACTATAATATGTGGTAGTAGCTGCGGTCTTCGTGTAAATTATAAGTTTAAATGCTATAATTATTTTTTTAAAAACAATAATATAAAATAATTTTTACACTTCTTTATAGTAAATTTTATAGTAAAATTTTTTTTTTATTACAAAATCAAATCTTGTTAAATGAAAGTTAGTATTGTAAAGATAAGTAAAAAATACTATATACCTAGCAAATTTTGTTTGCGTAAAAATTAACTGTTTTCATGTTAGAATATGGCTTAATAAAACAATTACTTTATTTATATGATAAAAATTAGTATTATCATAGTAAAAGTTAAGTCGAAATTATGTTGTGGGGTCCATACGAAAATTCAAGACATAGTGTAATTTAAAATTATATTAAAACTTAATATAAAATTTTCTCCGTGTATTATTCCACCATCTTATATTGATTTTCCAATGTAATTATTATCATTATAGTGAAAAATGAAATTACAACCGATAACTCTTTAATGTCAGTTCCCCTTGCAGGCTCAACAATTTCCAATATTGGAAGTTTTTGAGAGTTGTTCTATGGGGGGTGAGAAAGAGAGAAAGAGAGAGAGAGAGAGAGAGAGAGAGAGAGAGAGAGAGAGAGAGAGAGCCTAATAATTTATTTAAAATTGGAATTAATAGGTAAGTTAAAGTATATGTTACAAAGTAATTGGTAAGTCTAAAACATATATATGTTTTAGACTTACCAATTACTTTGTAACATATAATAAGCAGGACTTTAAATGCTTATTATAATTATAATTATTAGTAAAATTATTCGTAATCACAATATTTACGCGTTCTATAAATCGAACGAAATAGATCGGATCTCGAAAAGTAAGGAAACAGATTTTCCAGAGATCTTCATGAGCAACTTATTTAAGCGTAATGTACAGATTGGCCTTTACTGTTGACTCGTTGAGGAATGAATGCTAATTACAGAATAATATTAGATGTTTTCCAGCAAGAGACATGGATGCCAGTGTAACACAGTTAATCATAATATCTTTGTTGTTTGCCAATATTAAACAAAGATGAAATGATCACTGTGTTACACTGTGTCTCTTACTGGAAAGCACCAATTATTTCTGTTTCCTTTTGTTTATATCTCTTCTGTAATAAATTATTTATTTTTCGTCTTTTAATTATCCTTTTAAATAAAATAACGTGCTTATGGCTAATATAGCGAGCGTTTTATGATGATAATATGTGCATGGCCATATACAAATACTAAACGATAACCAGAAATACTTCTTCGTTTTTTAGCAGCGTGTTGAAATATTCTTGGAACGTGTATCGTGATGTGTTTGTATACTGTCTACATATTAAATGAAGGAGTCAGAAAGATATGTCCGAATGGTATATATTACGAATAAATAATGTAAGCTGTAAAGCAATAGAATAAAGTAATGAATCAGAAATAATTCATGAATTTTTGTGTATAAAACTTTATTAATTCATGTACCTTTTATTTTAAATAATTCACAAGCAAAGAAAATTGTAGTATATACAAGATCGCTGTGATGTTATAATCTAATCACGTATGTAGAGAACCAAGAGATGGACATAGCATTCTTAAGCAGGCAGAACAAACATCTTTTGTCAAAACAGGCTGAATACATGAAAAATGAAGTTGCTAAATATATTCGAAGGATTCTAATCTTCGGGCTTCGTTTGTGAATATTGCGATGACAATTACAATATGTTATGTAACTGTTAATTATAATAGTAATTTAAATGTGTTTAATAATACTCGATCCACAACCTTGCTTTAAGAAACCTTAAGTCATAAGTTGAAAGAGATTAATACCAGGGAATGGAAGTAACTCGTTACTTGTAACGAAGTTACAGTTACAAGTTACTTTTTTGGTAACTTTACTAGTAACTGCGTTACTTTTTTTCTTTGGTAACTGTAACGGTAACGAAGTTACATTTTTTTGGTAACGGTAACGAATTTTACAGTTACTTTTATCGTTACTTTGCACATGATTGGACACGATGCGACACAAGCCACTTACACTGTAAAAAAATTTCGTAAATTTACACATATAATAAATGTAAAATAGATTACATGATTAGTTCTGTAATTATAAAAAAATCATACAATTTTACAGAAATTATGTAATTCCACAAAAATTATGTAAATTTGTTCTTATTGTGTAAATATATCTTATTTTATATTGGAAATTATGTAAATAGCAGGATATTTTGAATATTTTCTGTAATTATCCAAATTTTAGTAATATTACGTAATATAAAAGAAATTTTTCGCGTATTGTTGTTAAATGTATAATAATATATAGTGCGAAATATATTGTCATATTATCGTTCCTGTAGCTACACATACACATTGTAATTGTACTTCCACAATCTGCTTAGTTCCAAACCAAGAAATTATTTTTATTTGCATATTGCAAATATACAAACGTGTGGACGTTTACAACTTATAGTGGATCTCAAAATTATCCATTATAATAGTTATAATTTTACACAATTTTTTACAATGAGCTTGAGACTAGAGAAGCCTCTAGGCCAGTCCGCTGTGATTGTTGGTCGTCGATTTAAAAAAAAGTAACGGAAAAATAACGAAAAGTTACTTTCTCAAGTAACGGTAACTGTAACGAGTTACTTTTAAAAATCGGTAACTAGTAACGGTAACTTGTTACTTTTCCTACTGGGTAACGAGTAACTGTAACTTGTTACTTTTAAAAAGTAACTTTCCATTCCCTGATTAATACCTTCTCCACAATCTTGCTTTAAGATGCCGTAAGCCGTAAGCTGTAAAAAATTGACCTATCACATCGATTATTTTTCTCATATTCTACTGTGATTAGTCAATTTCTTAAGACTTTACGACTTACGGCCTCTTGAATCAAGGTTGTGAACATTGTATAAGTAACAATAATTTCTGTCTTTAAATTATTTTTGCTCAGTCTTTAGGCTTTAGGACTGCCGCACACAAAATTCCGCAACAGTGACCGTAAGCCAGTAAACTTAAACCGCTAAGCCAATCAGGATATTGCTTTAGGTCTACGTAATCTAACGAAAATGGAAATAACAGTAAACTTATCCATAAGACGAGTTTTAACCGGTTGAAATTCGCCATATTGCGAGGTTATTCATATCCAAACAAATTTCATATTATTGTCCTTGTGATAACAAGTTTTATGTCTCATTGTTTCAAAAAATTGTTAAGAAAAACTTTTTTACAATGAATAAAAAGGCCACTTTTGAATAAGCTTTAAATAGGAATTCTATGTTAAACGCTTTAACTTTGAAATGGAATACCTCGATTTTTAATCCCGCTCCGGATATTGAGTTTTAAAGCACATGTTCAAGACACTAAAACAAAATTTTTCTGTAAGTTTTAGAAAAATCTAAAGAAAATTGATTTTTCGGAGAACATCCTTAAGCGAATTGAGCAAAACCAAATTCTTACGACTTAAGTTCTGTGGCTGATATATCGTCACTTACAACTTACAGCTTACGGTCTCTTAAAGCATGGTTGTAGACTTTGTTACCCTAATGTGCTCTACGATAAAGTCTTAGCTACAGCAACGGTTTTAACGTTATTTCCCAGTAGTTGATTAACAGCGTTGTTAACAGCAGACAATGTAGAAATCGGGATCTGAAGGTGAGATTTGATTCATTAAAAGCTATGTAATTTTTTATACAGATCGCGATGCTTGTAAGACATAAATGTAAAAGAAACGACTTACATTAAAAATACTATCGATGAAAGATTCGCTGGCATAAGATGTTTTTCCTGCAGCAACCACGCTGCCGTCTCCTACTGCGTTGACAAAAAGTCCGCCGACCATATCCGAAGGAGAACTTTGAGTATCAACCATTGCTGTTGGAGCAACATAAACAATTTTCCTAGGGCGGGTCCAGAATCTTTTTCTAAGATACCAGCGTGGATATGCAGGCTTTGCAACAACATTCGGATTGGCTGAAAGAGAAAGGATTTCTCATGGATTAACATTCGAATAAGTGCAGAGAAGCATAGAAATAATCACTCACCGACTGTTGTAACTGTATCGACGGCGGCAGTAGCTTGGCCTGCGCCTTGTGTGGGTGCAGCAACTGTAGGTGCCAAAACGACGGTTTTCACAGCTGGCGCTGCTCCAACATAAACCGATTTAACCAGATCCACTTCTGCCGCGGGTGCCACGACTGGTACTGCACGTCGTGTCTGTCGCAAAAAAGATTTCTCTAATTATAAAATTTAAATATTCTAGCAATCACCTTCAGTGTCCTACATAATTATTTTGATTTAATTTATCAAAATTATTTTTAAATCTGTTGAAAAAACGACTTTGCTGAAGTATCCGCAATTTTAGCTAGATACAGATTTAAAAATACGAGGGTGAATCAAATATAAACCGAACTTATTTTTATACTAATAATAATGTAATCTTCTTACGGACTCTCCCAAATTCAACAACAAAAAACTCCAAAACCAGGGCGAATGAGAGTCAGCGTGGTAATTAATACGCAATCTTAATTCTTCAATACAAAAAAATAGATTCCTTATTCCAAAAAATAGTATGTTTCAGTTCACTTTGGAACCATCTTCAGCCAAACAAATTAAAAATATCATAAGTTTTTGCTATGTATGCTTTAGTTTCCTATAATATATCTATATTGATTATCCTTGGGAGGGCTCCGTTTGACTACAATCCCGATTGCCTACAGCTTCGTTTGCACACAGCAACATTGCACACAGCGTATTGCACACAGGACATTATTGTACACAGCGTATTGCACACAAGACATTATTGCACACAGCGCATTGCACACACGGCATTATTGTCCACAGCGCATTGCACACACGACATTATTGCACACGACGTTTTGCACACAGGACATTATTGTACACAGCGTATTGCACACATTACATTATTGCACACAGCACATTGCGCACACGGCATTATTGTACACAGCGTATTGCACACATGACAATATTGCACACGGCGTTTTGCGCACAGGACATTATTGTACACAGCACATTGCACACACGACATTATTGTCCACAGCGCATTGCACACAGGACAATATTGCACACATGACAATATTACACACAGGACAATATTGCACACATGACATTATTGCGCACAGGACGTGATTGTCCACAGCGTATTGCACAAAGGACAATATTGCACACATGACATTATTGCGCACAGAACGTGATTGTCAACAGCATATTGCACACAGGACAATATTGCACACAGGACAATATTGAACACATGACATTATTGCACACAGGACAATATTGCACACAGGAC